GCAGTCCCTCTACTTTGTACTCAGCATCATCTTTCAGCAACTTACACAATTTACCCTTATCTGTCAAAAGATAACAAACAAGGAATTCAAAGTTTAATTAGTTAACATGTTTAACAAGTCAAGATTGGAATATACATATATTTTAACACCCGCCCTCAATCTTGACTTTTAAACAAATCTAACATTTTCAACTTAGAACACATGTAATTATGAAGATTAACACTAAATGCTTTAGTTAAGATATCTGCTGTTTGTTCAGATGAGGAAACTTTAACAATTTTCAAAACGCCTCTACTAATTTTTTCACGAATAAAATGAATATCTATTTCAATGTGTTTAGTTCTTTCATGAAAAACAGGGTTATTGGCGATTTGAATAGCGGATTTGTTATCACAATACAGATTTACAGGAAGAAGATTATCAACATTTAAATCAGTTAAGATTTTTAGAACCCAGACAATTTCACAAGATACAGATGCCATGGCTCTGTATTCTGATTCAGCAGAAGAGCGTGAAACAGTATTCTGTTTCTTACTCTTCCAAGAGACAAGAGAATTACCAAGAAATAAGCAATAACCTGTAACTGAGCGTCTAGAGGATAAACACTTACCCCAGTCGGCATCTACAAAGGCAGTAAGACTAAACAGATATGACCTTGTAAGACAGACTCCTTTTCCAGGTGAAGACTTAAGATACCTGAGAATTCTCAATGCAAGATTTAAATGCGACAATCTAGGAGCATGCATAAACTGACTCAAGCAATGGACAGCAAAGGCTATATCAGGTCGAGTTGCAAGAAGGTAAATTAACTGTCCTATTAACCTTTGATAACCAGAACAATCAGACAAAAGAGAATCCTTTTCATTATTTGAGTCAGAAATTACTAGATTAACATCCATAGGAGTACTAGAGGGTTTGCATCCCAAGTAACCAAAATCATTTAATAATTCCAAACAATACTTTCTTTGGGACATACAAACACCATCAATGCAATCTAGGATCTCAATCCCTAAAAAGAATTTTAATCTACCTAGATCTTTGATTAAGAACTTACTTTTCAAGTACTCTTTAAAAACATTAATTTCCACCACACTGTTTTCTGTGATAACGATATCATCTACATATACTAGAAGAATGAGAAACACTGAATTAACACGTTTAGTGAACAAAGAATAATCAGAAGTACTTTGCACAAACCCATTTTCAATTAAACAGGACGACAACTTGGAATACCATTGCCTGGGAGCCTGCTTTAAGCCATATAATGACTTAACCAACTTACAAACCCTTTTATCACTAGAATCATAGTAACCTTCAGGAAGAGACATATAAACATCTTCTACTAGGTCCCCATAAAGAAAAGCATTATTGACATCCAATTGAAATAAAGGCCATTTATACTGGACAACAAGAGCAATAATACATCTGACCATAACCATTTTGACTACCGGAGAGATGGTCTCCTCATAGTCCAGACCCTCTCTCTGACTATAGCCCTTAGCTACTAACCTAGCCTTATATCTCTCGATTTCACCATTGGATTTATATTTGATTTTACAAACCCACTTGCATCCTATAGCTTTTCTATTTCTAGGCAATTCTGTAATATACCAAGTCCCATTCCTATGTAAAGCCTCCATCTCTTCATTCATAGCATTTAACCAGTTTTGATCATTACAGGCATCCTTAAACGACTTAGGCTCAACAGACTTATTCAAATTTGAAACAAAACAAAAATTATCAGACGAGAGACAAGAATAATTGACGACCCTTTCAATACCATACTTAACTTTTCCCTCAATAACAAAATCATCAAATTTCCTAGGAAAATTACTGGGTCTAGAGAATCTTCTAAGAGTTTGAGTTTGGGATTGTTTACCCTCAGATATATGACCAGTATTATCACTATTTCTTTCAGAAGACAACACAACATCTCGAGGGGAACTGGCAACCAGTCTAGGGCTGCCCAAAGGCTGCCTGCTGGTAACTCTGCAAGAATCATCCTCTTGAGATGAATCTTGATTTTCACAGAATTCAGAGCTGCCTAGTGACTGACTATCATCAGTCCTAGAGGGGCCACCAAGCTCTCTTCGGTTACTGTTGCTAACAGTATTTTCAGTATTCGTATCACCAATCGAAGGTTCATTGTTATCATCATTGGATCCCATTACATCAAACTCATTAGAAGTTCTAGGAACAGTATCAAAGAAATTCAGAATATCAACAGTTTTGTTTTCAATCATACCAGCTTCCTCAATACTCATTTTGAATGGAAATACGTTTTCATAAAACTTTACATCTCTGGAAAATATAATTTTCTTGGTTTCTAGACTATACAGTCTATAACCTTTTTTCGAGTTTGCATATCCCAACAAAAGGCACTTTTATGATTTCGGAGAAAATTTGTCAGAAACATTTGGTATGTGAACAAAACATAAGCATCCAAAATTGCGTAAATGAGTGAGAACCGGCTGAAAACCATATATAAGCTCGTAGGGACTCTTACCATTTAAAAGAGAAGTGGGAGTTCGATTTATCAGATAAGTAGCAGTTAAAACACACTCATTCCACATATTAAGGGGAACACCAGCCTGAAACAAAAGAGCCCTGGCAACATTAAGTAAGTGTCTATGCTTACGCTCAACCACCCCATTCTGCTGGGGGGTGTAGACACAAGAGGTTTGATGGATAATGCCTTTTGACTCAAAGAATTCACATAGTCTTTGATTAGTGAATTCAGTTCCATTGTCACTCCTAAAGGTTTTAACATTTTTACCAAACTGAGTGAGCAACAGATTACAGAAGCTCTCAATGTAATTACTAACCTCATGTTTTCCCTTCAAGAGATACACCCATACAGCGCGAGTGTAATCATCAACTATAGTTAAGAAGAATTTATATCCTTCTCTGCTCTGTATGTGATAAGGACCCCATATGTCTAGGTGAACAAGTTCACCTAAACTTCTGGATTTATGACTACTAGTGCCTAATTTCTCACGTGTTTGCTTTGCCTTATGGCATATCTCACAAGGACCACTACTCTCATTTTCAATTTTTAATTTGTCTTTTAGAACATATAAGACTTGATCCGCAGGGTGACCAAGTCTGCTATACCATAATTGAAAGGAGACAAAGCAAACCATACCACAGTCATTTGAAGTGAAGGAAACATTATTGTTAGGATATTGATCAAAAAAATATAACCCTCCATCCTGACTACCAATCCCCACAATGTTCTTCTGCAGATAGTCCTGAACATAACATTTAGTTTCATCAAATTTTATACAAACTTTACTATCTCTGGCTAGCTTGTGGACAGATAAAAGGTTGATATTGAACTCAGGGACAACAAGCACATCAAAAAGAGTCACATTGTTAGATAGCTTCAAGTTACCGATTTTATTTATCTTAGCTTTAGTACCATTAGGGTGGCTAACTTTAAGATTTAAATCATTGACATCAACGACATTTTCTAAGTTTAAAGAACTGGAAGTCATGTGTTGATTGGCCCCTGAATCAATTATCCAACCAGGAAGAGAATTTTGGAACATACTTGCCATATTGGCAGAAGCTCCTTCAAAGGTAGTTTTAGGATTGATTAAATTCAAGATCTTAGCTACCTGTTCTTCAGAGAAAGTAAAAGATGCTTTTGGAGAAACAGAGTCAGAAGTAGAAGTATTTCCAGCAGAGGGTCTAAAATTTTGATTTTGAGGTTTAAAACTTTGGGATTGAGTTTGAGGTTTGGAACGATTAGGAAAGTCTTTTGGAAAACCTATAAGTTTGTAGCAACGTTCAATAGTATGCCAGTGATACCACAATGCTTACAAACAAGATTGTTTGGACTCCTTCCTGGTTTTTTTTTTGTTTTCAAAACTTTTGCTAAAAAAGGCGGAATTTTGAGTTTTAGAACGGTTTTGACCAGAGTTGGATCCCCTATGAGATTCCTCCCTAGATACAAGTGAAAAAGCAGTTTTAACGGAAGGGAGGGGATCTCTAGTTAAAATATTGCTTCTAATAGGCTGATAAACATCATCAAGACCCATAAGAAACTGCATTAGCTTAATGAGCTGACTATGTTGTAAGAAATCATGTGAAGCATTGCATGTACAGGATGAGAGCTTTATGAGGGCATCAAATTGCTTCCAAAAAGAGTTCAACTTATGGTAGTATTCAGAGACAGACATATTATTTTGATTTAGAGAATTTATTTTTTGGTAAAGGTTAAAAGTTACCGAACCATCCACTTTATCGTAAGTTTCCTTCAATTCCTCCCACACTTGAGAGGATAATTTTGAAAACACCTGGCCTAGAAATAAGTCCTCCGTCATGGAGCTTAGGATCCATGAGAGGACAATGGAATT